ACATGCGCGCCCGCACGTGGTATTTTGTGGAAGAGCCACACTCAAGGGGCCAAAGAGCCGCATGTGGCTCACGAGTCGTGGTTTGCCGACCACAGAGCTAGGTAAACGAATAGATATGCTTATATAATTCACATTCAATTAAATTTAACACAAGACATTAGTACCTCATATGTCATAAGATGTACTAAACGAAAGGTATGAAGGAAAGACAGGCCAATCCAACTTGCAGCGGAAACACTGACGGAATGAAGAAATGCATGGACTCCAGAAATCCCACAGCATACCCTTAAAGTTCCCTGGGATGACAGTAACTCAATAATATTGGCGAGCACAGAATTATTGGCCACTTGGTTGAAAACGCATGCAGTAGGAGGCACTACAGTGTGCCCATGCTGACATGACAAGGAAATCATGCATTTCTTACTGTGAAGTTGGTTACCTTACAGGATGCTGAAACCCAAAGGCCCCCTTTGATCCAGGAATTTGCTGGCCACCCCCGGGCTCAAGCTGCAAAGACAGACACACAAACACACAGTCAAGAAGCCTCTGAATTCGCATCCTGAAATTAAAACAAAACAAAACAAAACACAGAACAAAATCTAAGCGGCCTGCACTTGCTAGCATCAGTAGTGATTTTAGAGACCGTTTAAACACGGACGCCGTACTTGCTAAGCCCGTCTTCCTCTTGCTGTCGCTGGTGATGCCCAGGGCACTGAGCGGGATTCAGAGATGGACAGGTGCGTCCCACACAGTCGCCCTGTGCAGGCGTCTTAAACCTGCTGGGGAGAGACACACGTGCCTCCCGCTCCACGAACGCCGCGGGGAGGGCGGCCTGGGAGACGGAGGATGGGACCAGGACGGCACAGGCCTGACACCTCCTCCCAGGGCATCCCCTCCTTTGCAGGGCCGGCAAGTTGCCAGGAGGGAGACGGAACAGAGGTCAACAACAGTTTGGTCTGCCTTTTATCTTCCCAGAAATGGGTGAGGGTGACTCCACTCAGGGCAGGGCCCTCTTGAAGCCTTGCCTCCAATTTCTAGGCAGTGGTTCTCAACCTTCCTAATGCTGCGACCCTTTAATACAGCTCCCCATGTTGTGGTGACCCCCAACCATAAAGTTATTTTCGTTGCTACTTCATCACTGTAATGTTGCGACTGTTATGAATCGTCATGTAAATATCCGAGATGCAGGATGTATTTTCCTTGTTACAAATTGAACATAATTAAAGCATAGTGATTCATCACAAAAACAATATGTAATTATCTATGTGTTTTCCGATGGTCTTAGGCGACCCCTAAAGGGGTCGCAACCCACAGGTTGAGAACCACTGTTCTAGAGCAATGCAAGCAGGGCTCTGGAGCCGAGGAATTCTCCCGTTTGTCGGGAGAGGGCGCTGTTGAGTAATAAGCGCTCCCTTTCCGCACTCGCTGCGCTCACCTGGCTGGGGCTCCCGGGGGAGCCCGGCGCCTTACACCTGCCGCTCCGCCCGGACAACTTAGCTCTGCAAGGAGCTGGCCCCAGGAAAGCGGGGCGGCGAGCGCTACAGCCCAGGAACAGCCACCCTCCGCTCCCCCCAAAATCCATGGGCACACCTGCTTACTCCAATGTGCCCTGCCGACGCCCAGCTAGAGAGTTGCTACAGCTTAACATTTTTTCTGCAATCTTCATTTTTCTCACCAATGGCCTTCTCATCACATAGGGATAAAAATCCACCTGCCTGCCTTACATTAGGCAGTTTGCTGTAGTATTTTTATTCTTGCAACGGACAGGCTCCATATACATTTCACTTTAAAGAAAACTGCATCGTTGTAAACTTCTACATTATCTCCCTCTCAAGCACTTGAAGTCTTATGTCAAGTTTGCATGCAAAAGAAGCAATCAGTTTTCATTATTGAGACATTGCATGTATTTAATAATAATTTGGGCAACGAAATCATATCTCCTGTTAATTTGATTTTTACTTGCTTCATTCTTTAAATAATAGTAACTGAGTTAAAATCCCGTCATTCACACTAATTTAATTAAATAGTCCATGCCTGCTTTCCCACACCGAGTTTCTCTTATCACCAATAACTGCACACTAAGCCACAGGCCACACGTGTTATGTCTTTCCTAGCCTAATTAACTTCAGCATTTTTTCAAAAAAGCCATCCATTTCTATTTTAAACTATAACAAGGAAAGGTAAATTCCATGAAAGCAAGCCATTACCTCAATAAGCATAAAGCAATGTAGCTCCCACTGCAGGAAACAAAAGGAGAGTGGTGGCCATTCATCGTGGGGCACAAAGCCCCCGCGGGAGTGTATTTGCTCAGACAACCCGAGTTCCCCCAGCAGCGCTCCCAGACAGGGCGGAAAGTGCTTCAGAAAGGGCCGGGCTTTTAGCCACACCTTCTGAGCACCCCAGACGGATCCCGACCCTTGTTTGCACTGCGGCACCCGCCCAGCGCTAATGGCACACTCGGCTTTCCTCTCAGGCAGCCTTTTCCTCCCTCTCTCTACCTCTGATTCATTTGCAGGAGGAAAAGCAAACCAACATGAAAGAAGCACCGTGGAATGCCCGTGAAGTAGCTACATGGGAGCGGCTTTGCTTTTCAAGAAAGGAGAAGCAAGCAGGAGCCCAACCTCCTGTGACCCAGGTTTTATCAGCACCGCTGGCCAGGCCCTGCCCCAGACCACTCTGTGTGAGACGCTGAGGGAGGGACAGGTGGAGGGGCCTGTCATTACTGCCGATGGTGCCGTTCCTGGCTGAACTGGTGGATGCCTACAGCACCCCACTTCACCTCACCTGGCTGCCAGCTCCGGTCCGCTCAGCATCCCGGGGGGTCAGGGTCCAAGGTCGCCATGGTGTGGGGCTGGAACGGAAGGGACCAGGGTGAACCCCAGCATTCTCTGC